AGCTTTCCGTGTGTAGAATTTCCAGATCCCTGGGCGGGGCCAGAGCCCAATTACATTTGCCACGTGCCGCCGCCTGCGTGTGGTGTGTGGGTTCCCGTCGCCGCCCCTTCACCCGCCTCCCCTTGGGGTGCCCAGGCCATCCGGTGGAAACTGCTCTGCCTGGTGCCCGGCCGTTCCCTCCCAGGCGTGGACGTGGGAGGCCCCGCGTGAGGTTCCCTTTCGCGCTGGCCACGACTCCAGGTGGGGCCGGCAGGCACAGCAGCTCCTTTTAGGACACCGCTGTGTTCACTGGGCCTCAGGCGGCCTCACGAAGCCCTGCAGCCGCCCCTGGAGAACAGTGCAGTTGCTCTGCCCACTTTCCGAATGAGGAAACTGGAAGCCCAGGGGCGGCTTCAGCGACCCCAGGTCATGGCCGGAAAGGCCAGCACCACAGTTCCAGCCGATGGGTGGCTGCAAAGTCCCGGGCCTGCCTGATGGGATGCTGTGACGTTCTGGGGGCCTTGAGAAGCACGGGCAGCTGTGCCCTCCTTTCCTGCCCGCTGCTCTTCCAAAGTCAGACCGAGAAAGTCAAAAGACGAATTTATTGATTACCTCCTGAAGTGACCACTTTGGGGGTGACCCTGGCTGGGCCATCGTGCGTGGAATTGGGGCCCGCCCCACACCCCCATTCTGTCTCCTCTTCAGTCTGACGCCAAGGCTCTGGGAAGGGGCTGGTGGGAATGAGGGGCCGAGTGGGGGGCACACTATGGTTATCTGGAACCTGCGGAGGGGGGTGGGCAGGCCCCAGGCCCCCAGCTTGATGGAGGAGTCCCAGGCAGAGCAGGGGTCTGCGGTGCTCAGGCCAGACCGGTGCAGGGCCCCGGCGGGGCCCGGGGTGGATGCCCCTTGGGGCCGGCCCTGCCAGCCTTCTGCTTCTGCAATGTCTGCTCCACCTTCTCTCTGAAGTGCCGGTTCTTCTGCTTGATCTTGGCCAGCTCGGCCTTGCGCTTGGCCTCCAGGTCAGGGTCCTGGACAGGAGACGGGAGGTGGCTGAGCAGGGCGCCCCCCACTCCCAGAACCGTCCCCACCCGGCACAACCTCACCTTCCCCTCCAGGATAAGCTGCTTCCGCTTGTTGGTCTCCTTCTTCTCATCAAAGTGGGCTGCCTCCAGTTTCTGGGGGTGAGGAGACACGGATCACTGGGTCCCTGTGCCGAAGGCAGTGCCCAGGCCCTGAGGACCAGCCCCTGCCTGCCTCTGACACTCACAATTTCACACTCCCTCCGCACCACGTTGACCTGTGTGAGGATCTGCAGCACCTCAGCCTCCTCCACCGAGAACTCCTCTAGCTTCTTCTCTGGGGGGACCAGGACCGGGGGGGGGGAGATACGACAGGGCGAGAAGTCACCATGCAGTGAGCTCCCTGTGCAGGAGGGCATGCAAGGCCATCTGGGGTCCTATCAGGCCAGAGTCAGGCAGGCGAGACAACAGTTCACCACGGTCTTGACCTCCCAGGTTCAGGGCTCCTCCCGCCTCAGCCTCCCCAGTAGCTGGGACTACAGGCGCCAGCATGTCTCACTGCTTTTTAAATTTTTTGTAAAGATAGGGGTCTCACTATGTTGCTGGTCTTGAACTCCTGGGCTCCAGTGATTCTCTGGCCTTGGCCTCTCTAAGTGCTGGAATTACGGGTGTGCACCATCGTGCTTGGCCAGTTGGAGGGGCTTTTAACAGGTCCAGGCCATCACTGGGGCCTCTGCCATCACGGTGGGTGGTCTCGGGGGACCATCCACACACTCAGGCTGAAAACCAAAGTCCTCTGCCTGGTGTGGCTTTTGGCCACCATGGGGAGTTTCTTTCTCAATCACTGGGCAAAAGCAGAGTCTTCTGGGGCCACACAGGAAGTGAGAACAGCCCAAATCTGCTCATGTGAGCAGGTGGCTGGTATCACACCCGGGGTGCCCACATGTGCCCGTGCCCTCACCCTCTGCCCGACTCACTGATCTGCTCCTCAATGGCATGCACCAGGTGGATGTCATACTGTGTCACCAGCGTGATGGCCTGTCCCTGCCGCCCTGGGGGGATGCACCTTGGTTACCTGCTGTGCGTGGTGGCAGGTCCAGACAGCTGGGCAGCTGAGTCCTCTCCAGAGGCGATTAAGAGCTCGGAGGGGGAAGGACCAGCCCAGAGTCAGGGCTGACCCCAGCCAGGCCCCAGTGTAGGGGACGGGGAGCCACGGGACACAGGGCTGGTGACTGGCCTGTGTCCTTTTTCAGCCGGGCCGCGGGGGAGACCAGTCTAAGTAATGTCAGCGACTGACCCTGACAGGCCTCAGCCAGATCTCTGCGCCTGACTCCCGTGACAGTGACTGAAACAGCACTGATGGCGGCGAGGCCCATGACCCTTATGGCAGCCACAAATGGGCATCACCATTCTTGCTCCCTGCCGTTTGAGGCCCAGGCAGCAGATGTGATCTGCCTGACACCGGGGTCAGGACAGGAGGGCCAGGCCCAGTGTGAACCCAGGAACTGTAGCTCTCTTGGATCCGGGTCTCTCTTGATGTGACCCAGTCTCACAAACCCTGTGCCCCTCCCTGGTGAGGCTGGAAGCAGACAGGAGGACGCACCTCCTCGGCCCTGGGGCCGGGGTCACAGTGAGAGGCCAACTTGGACGCCAGTTCCCGAGGGGCAGCTCTTGTCTGCCAGGGCTCTGCCCCGAATGGGAGCCGGACCAAGGGGGCTGTGGTGAGGCAACAGGGAGTGGTGGGAACTGGGGCAGTGTGTGCCACTTCCCACGGAACAGCCACGTGTCACTCATCCCTAGGTCACGTGAAGGCAGAACGCCCCCCCTTTGCTTCTGAAAGGGCAGTCCTCCAACTCGCCAACATCCCCGTGGTAGTTGCATACGTTGCCAGGCCCCCCATGTCCCACCAGCTGTGGCTCTGGCTCCTCAGGACTGGCGGGCAGAGGGCCAGAAGCCCCAGGGCCACCCCACCTGCTCACCTGCCCGGGCCGTGCGGCCCACACGGTGGATGTAGATCTTGGGGAGGCCGGGGGTGTTGTGGTTGATGACCACCTGCACCGTGGGGATGTCCAGGCCCCTGGAGGCAGAGGGCGGTCAGCTCCCGACCCTGTAGGAAAGCCGAGGCTGGCCTCCCCCCGTCACTCAGCAGGGAATCCGGGGCTGCCCAACCCCGCCGAGGCCAGCCTCCCTTTTGACGCCCCTGATGGAGGGGGAGGGCCCCGTAATGGGGACGGCTCAGACTGCTCACCGGGAGGCCACATCTGTTGCGATCAGGATCCGGTAGACACTGGACTTGAACTTGGCCAGGGCAGCAAAACGCTCTTTCTGCACAAGGTTGAGGGGGAATCGGGAGGGGGTGAGGAAAGGGCGGGCTGTGTGAGGCCTGGGGACAGGGCGGAGGATAGGACATTCTCATCCCTTGAGGGAGGTGGCCATGTAAAGGCCAGATGGGGACAAGGGAATGCCTCACTGAGCAGGGATGTTTTGGGGCCAGGAGACAGAAGCAGAGGGAAGAGGGTCCTGGGTGGAGGTCCCGAGACGGGAGACGTTCAGATGAGGCCCGCGGCCAGGACACCTCACCTGCTTCATCATGGAGTGCAGTGCCACAGTGGGGAAGTTGAACTTTCGCAGCATCATGCACAGGATCTGACAGGTCCTGGAGGGAGGGATGTGCATCAGCTCC